CCCCTCCAATCCATACATGAAGCAAACTGACACCCACCATGAAGATGAGGCATGACCACGAACGTGAAGCCCAAAAATAGCAAGGCAGCCCACAATCTTAAACCCCCCTGCAACTCAGACTAACTTGAGCACAACAAAGCTCCCACCCAAACAGAACACTCCCCCAGCCAATCAGAGCACAGCCAACCCCCCAGCCAATCAGAGCACAGCCAAGCCCCTAACCAATCAGAACACACCTCCACCCAATCAGAACACAGCCAAGCTCCCACCCAATCAGTTCATACCCCACTGGCAGTTAAAAGGAAGAAACAGCTAAGACCACGCATTGCTGCTCGAAGCACGAAGCTGAAAACACCAGCCTGAAGATGACGAATGGGACTTCGTTGAAACGTCGCCAAGACACTTCCAATTTTACGCGGGAGAAAACCTGAACAACCAAAGACATATATATATATATATATATATATATATATATATATATATATATATATATATATATATATAGTGAATATATATATATTGTGAATAAAATTTGATCACCAGGAAAAGTTAAAACATTAAAAGTTTTAATATAAAACAAAAGTTTTAAGTATAAAACGTTAAAAGTTTTAAAAAATTAGCAACCTAGCTTTCGTTGGCTCCTGCCAACTTCATCAGGGCGTACATAAATCAATGGGAGTAAACATTTATATGTAAGTTAACGCCTGCGCTCGGCTTCTGGACCGCGTAATGGGCCCAGGTCGGCCAATCGTAGCATTAGTTGTAATTGCTGCATAATTGAGTGACTCATCTACTTGTATTATGCGTCCCTCATCAAAGTTAAAACAAGCTTCCGACTCTCCACTCATCCATATCCGTGGTCTAGGAGGATCCTCAATCTTATTCCAACTTGAGATGTCATCTCCACCACCAAGTCGTTTCCCCCTTCTCTCTTCCTTGGGAATTTTCGTGAGTTCAGAGCCCTCACCCCCTACATTATCCTGGCGTCTATCCTTAACATCGTGATGTTTATTATTACGGAGCCTCACTCTAGATATTCTGCATGTGCTCTCACTGCATGGCTCTCCCCCACGCACCATTTTCCCAGTCTTTCCAGTCTCGTTACACTCCATAACAGTTTTTCTCCTCTTTTTTAACTACCGTGAAAGATGCCAGGTGGAGTTTATGAATCAGTACTTCATGCAGTTAAACCAACATATTTGCTGGGCAATTAAGAATGTGAGTCAACGAACCACGACCAAGTTCCGAAATAGAATTGAGGGTTTACACAATTCTAACAAAGGCCACCCACCGGATAAGCTGGTTTACAACCTGTCCAGCCAATCATTGACTCAGGCCCAGTCCACCTTATTGCAACGTGATATAGGGTGCAACCTCACGGATGCTCACGCCCTGGACTTTGTGGCGGCGTTGGAGCCTGCCTTGCACTGCATCGAAAAGAGTGAAGACATCAAAGATACCATCAGACAGCATGAGCCACCGGCAACATCAGGCTCTGTCCAAAGAAGAATTGAAAGCTATGGGCGCAACTTAAAGAGGATGATTCTATCCTCGTGCTACCGGCTGACAAGAGGAGGGCCACTGTTGTCATGGATAGAGTACACTATGCTAGCAAGGCTTTGGAGCTACTCAGTGACACCATCGCTTATAGGGTCATGAGTGGGGACCCCATGGTGGCCCTTAAGAACCGGGTCAACAAAGTGCTCAGTGCCCTGAAACGTGGTAAGAGGATTGACGATCATACCCTTATGGGGATACGCCCCAGTGACATCGCTATGGCTAGGTTTTATGGGCTGCCTATGGTCCACAAGGAGGGTATCCCTCTTCGACCCATTGTTTCCTTTAGGAACACCCCGATCTCGGGCTTAGCTAAGTGGCTTAGCCATCGTATTAGCCACTTGGTCGATGATAGCCGCACTACCGTTAGATCGACTGAGGACTTTCTTGACAGGATTAGGACCTTGAGGATAGAGGATGATGAGGTGATGGTGTCTTTTGATGTCATCTCCCTCTTCACCTCTATCCCACAGGACCTGGCTGTCAAGACTGTTAATGATCTCCTCCACCGCAAGGGATCGGGCCAGTACCAGGATTCCCTCCGCCCTGAGGATCATAGAAGGGGAGAGCCACCATAAATCTTCTACCGAAGGAGTGATTACACGATCTCAGAAGGCGACACAATTAGCCGGGGTGAATGGTGGCATATTTACTGCACCAGGATCCACATCGCACTCCACATCGCACCCCACTTGGGGGAGGAGCGAAAAGAGCCAACTCACTAAAGTATACAAGCAACCATCTCTGGGGACTTTAACTACCTTGACAATCAGTCAACAGAATTTACAGTCCAGCCCCCGCAATGAGTTGGCAAAAAGGGGGAGAACAACTGTTACAGAGTGTAACGAGACTGGAAAGACTGGGAAAATGGTGCGTGGGGGAGAGCCATGCAGTGAGAGCACATGCAGAATATCTAGAGTGAGGCTCCGTAATAATAAACATCACGATGTTAAGGATAGACGCCAGGATAGTGTAGGGGGTGAGGGCTCTGAACTCACGAAAAATCCCAAGGAAGAGAGAAGGGGGAAACGACTTGGTGATGGAGATGACATCTCAAGTTGGAATAAGATTGAGGATCCTCCTAGACCACGGATATGGATGAGTGGAGAGTCGGAAGCTTGTTTTAACTTTGATGAGGGACGCATGATACAAGTAGATGAGTCACTCAATTATGCAGCAGTTACAACTAATGCTACGATTGGCCGACCTGGGCCCATTACGCGGTCCAGAAGCCGAGCACAGGCGTTAACTTACATTTAAATGTTTATTCCCATTGATTTATGTACGCCCTGATGAAGTTGGCAGGAGCCAACGAAAGCTAGGTTGCTAATTTTTAAAAACTTTTAACGTTTTATACTTAAAACTTTTGTTTTATATTAAAACTTTTAACGTTTTAACTTTTCCTGGTGATCAAATTTTATTCACAATATGTACACGCCCAGGAATCATGCTTCTATTTTTAGTATATATGTTTCCTGATGTTTTCACGGGTGTTTGTATGTAGGTCTTTGATCATTCGGGTTTTCCCCCGTGTCAAATTGGAAGTGTCTTGGCGACATTTCGATGAAGTCTCATTCGTCATCTTCAGGCTGGTGTTTTCAGCTTCGTGCTTCTTGAGGCAATGTGTGATCATAGCTGTTTCTTCCTTTTAACTGCCAGTGGGGGTATGAAGTGATTGGATGAGAGCTTGGCTGTGTTCTGATTGGATGGAGGTGTGTTCTGATTGGTTAGGAGCTTGGCTGTGCTCTGATTGGCTGGGGGGTTGGCTGTGCTCTGATTGGTTGGGGGAGTGTTCTGTTTGGGTGGGGTCTTTGTTGTGCTCAGGTTAGTCTAATGTGAGATGGTGAGCTGCATTGCTATTGTTTGGCTTTGCGTTCGTGGTCGTGCCTCATCTTCATGGTGGGTGTCGGTTTGCTTCATGTATGGATTGGAGGGGTTTAAAGGGGCTAATGATGCAGCTGTGGTCTGGTTTCTGGTTTGTGGTCGTGCTGATATGTATGTATATATGTATGTATATATGTATGTAGGTCTTTGGTTATTTGGGTTTTCTCCCACGTAAAATTGGAAGTGTCTTGGTGACGTTTCGACGAAATCCCATTCATATCTTCAGGCTGGTGTTTTCAGTTTCGTGCTTCTAGGAGCAATGTGTGATCGTAGTTGTTTCTTCCTTTTAACTGCCAGTGGGAGCTTGGCTGTGTTCTGATTGGGTGGAGGTGTGTTCTGATTGGTTAGGGTCTTGGCTGTGCTCTGATTGTATGGGGAGGTTAGCTACATACAAACACCCACAAAAACCTCAGAAGACAAATATACATACATACATACATACATGCATACATACATATTATAAAATTTGGATTGCTAACAAAGAATTAAGGGAGAATGGGATAGCTATTTCGAGTTTCTTAACTCTCTTCAGCCAAACTTACCCTTCTGAGATTCGAGCCTGGGCTGTGTGCATGTTAGGCAGCTGTATTAACCTCTAGGCCACAGGCTCTTTCTCACTTTGTCAGCTGTATCAGGGAGGGAAGAGACAGGGGGAGGAGATTTACTTTGAGTGTTTCTTGATGCACCCTGTTGGCCCAAATATGGGAGAAAAAGAAGAAAAAAGAAAAAGAAAGAAGATTTCTTTCTCCCATATTTGGGCCGACAGGGTGCATCAAGGAACACTCAAGGTAAATACATACATACATACATACATACATACATACATACATACATACATACATACATATCATAAAGGTAAAAAAGGATATATGCAGTATTATCTTCATTTTAGATATCAAAAGGGTCTCTCTGTCTCTCCTTCCTTCTCTTTCTCTCCCTCCCCCTCTCTCTTTCTGTCCTTGGTCTGCCAGTCCTCTTCCCCCACTCTCTTTCTCTCTCCCCCTCTGATCTTCTGGCAAGCTGGCTTCAAGCTGTTCTCCAACAAGCTCGGGTAGGCAACCTCGGCTCTTTTATGACTCATGGACTTCAACTCCCAGAATTCCTGAGTCAGCATAGCTGGGCTAGCTAGCTCTCTCTTGCCCTTCCTGCTTCCTGCAGAGATGCAGGAAAGGGAGGAGCTCTGCCCAAGAAGCTTTTCAGTTCCTTGGAGAACACTGTGAGTCCACTCTCTTTTTTACACACATACACACAGAGAGAGAGAGAGAGAGAAGCTCTGTCTCTCTCTGCAAATGGCAGAGGAGGCTGGGAGCCACAGGGAAGGCTCAAAGAGCCTCATGCGGCTCCAGAGCCGCAGGTTGCCGACCTGTGTCATAGTGTATTTCTAGCTATGCAAATAGTTATTTTAGTCTGACAAGATTCCATTTAAAAAAAAAATTTGTTTTCTTCAGAGAGTTTTGATTGTTTTCTCCTACTCTGTAGTCTTGAGCAATACATTTATAATTTATTAGGAATTTAAATGGATGTGTTTTATCCTTTTAAATCTTACTTTTTCTTTTCAGATATTAACCATATTAAAAATCAGATAAATAGCTTACTCTTTGTTAAGAAAGTATGTGATTCAAGAATACTAAGGCTACAGTCAGGAAAAGTAAGTATGTTTAATGTAATGTATCTGAGCCAACTATGAGACTTGATTTTCTAAATCAAATAATAGAGCTCAGTATTATTAGACTTTTTTGTATTGTTTTCAATAGCTGCTGTATATCAGTAACTTGAATTTGTCAGGTTAGGTTCTCATTTCAAATCCATCTAAAAAAGAGTTATTAGTTTTGCTATATATCTGATTGTTACTGAACTGAGATCCTGGCTCAAGATAAAGAATCTACTGCCAATCCATTATCAAGCAAACTTTTATTTTTGAATCTCTATATTTAAAATCTTGAAAGACAACATTCCTGATTTTGATATGTAGCAAAAATAAGGCATGTTGTATAAATATTGCATAGCCATGTCTATTAATGTATTGTATCTTTATTCAGGAAATAGATACTGTGAAACTGGCTGCAAATTTTGGAAAACTTTGCACAGTCCCTCTGGACAACATTCTAGTAAACAATATTGCACTACAGTTTTTTATGGGTAAGAAAACAATAGTTAGAAATGCATGATTAAAACTAGCATTGTAATAGGATGCTATAGGTATGCATGTATTTACCTAAAAATAAATAAATGTAATTGATGTGAGGACTTTTTTGATCCCATCTATTTTAGTAGGTTTGCTTTTTTTTAATATGCCAAATGAACAGATGACTGTTCCTCTTTCCCAAATATCCACACAGTTAAGTTAGTTCTAGACCAGGGGTGTCAAACTGCCGGCCCATGGGCTGGATGTATCACACGGAAGCTATGCCCACCCCAGCTCCAACAAGGGGAAAAAAGTCACAATATGTCATGACACATCACGCGCCACGGCAAGTTTGACACCCCTGCTTTAGACCATAGAAATGGAAAAAAATCTGTCATTGACTAGAATAAGTTTGAGTATTTTATGCGATTGGATAAAGTTTAGATGGTATTAGTCTTTCATCCATTAAAAATATAAAGCAAAATAAAATAAATCAACCTACTGAGAGTTGCATACAAGAATTTAAAAAATATCTTCTATTTGAACATTCATATCAATGAATCTGAATATGAAATTAATAAAACATTTTCAGTTCAGAAAAAATTGCTTTACTCATAGTACTCTGTTGAAATATGCTTGACTTGGCTGCATTATCTCAATATAAAAATTTGAATAGCTTGAATGTTTCATGTATTATCAGGCCACATCTTTTTTTATTTTTTATTTTATTTTTTATTAGGTTTTTATCATGTTTACAGTTCTTAAGTGCTTAATAAACAATGTGTTGTCTGGGTCTTAGCTTAATATATATTAAAATTCTAATTTCTACTCTGTTTTTCCAGCCACTGATAAAATACATCCCATTTTGAAAATATTCTGTATCTTTTTTTTTCTTTAATCTTCAATGTAAGTCTATCCATTTCTGCACATTCCAGTATTTTCTTAATTATGTCATCTTCAGATGGTGTTTCTTCATTTTTCCAATGTTGCACAAAAACAATTCTTGCTGCGGTTAATACATGTACCATTAAGTATACATTTTCTTTCTCATATTTTCCTGAAATTATACCTAATAAAAATAGTTTCGGCTTAAAATTTACACGTATTCTTAACATTTTTTAACCAAATATGAATTTTTGTCCAATTTTTTTTCCTTTAGGGCACATCCACCAAAGATGATAAAACGTGCCTGGGTTTTGCCTACATTTCCAACAATTGCTAGATATATTTTTAAACATTTTTGCTAGCCTAGCAGGTGGTAATTTTGTATAAATTTTCTTTATATGCAGTTGACATTGTTATTTTATAGTTTTCCCCAAAGGTTTTGCCAGTTTTTTAACCCTATATTGTGCCCAAATATTGTTCTTCCCATACCATAGAAAAGTATGTCATCACAGTTGTAGGTCATGTCCTTCTAAGTATAATAGCCTTTTATGTCTAAGAGTAATCCATTCCTTTAACAATGCACATGCTTGGTAGTATAAAAACTAGTCCAGGAGTCCAAAGCCTCCATTTTCTTTAGATTCTTGTAACAATTTCAGTCTAATTCTAACTTTCTTCCTTGCCAGATAAATTTCAAAATTGATGCATTTATCTCACCAAAGAATTTTTTCTCTATTTTTATAGATATTGTTTGGAATAGGAACAGAATACCGTGGCTATTCTTCCTAATATTGACAGGTGTAAATTTTTCCATTTTTCCAAGTCTAATTTTATTTGTTTTAATAGTTTTATATTATCTTCTTTTATTGTTGCGCATCTTGCTGTTAGGTATATTGCCAAGTATTTAATTTTCTTAACTATCTGGAGATCTATTTTGTCTATCTATTTCTGTTTGTCTGTAAGATTCTTAACTATAACTTTAGTCTTTTCTCTGTTTATTTTCAATCCTGCTACTTCTCCAAATTCTTCTATTTTTTCCAATAATTTAGAGCTTGTCTCTTCTAGTATAAATACCAAATCATCCGCAAATGCTTGTAGTTTATATTTTTCATCTTTTATCTCCATTCCTTTAATTTTTGGGTTTTGTCTGACATATTCAGCGCTTCCAAAGTTAATATAAATAGCAGTACTGTGTATGCCGGCGTACAAGGCGACCCGGCATATAAGATGACCCCCGTCTTTGGCGCCGAGTCGCATTCCTAGAACGTCGTCTTATACGCCGGAAACTACCAGTATTTCCGGTGTATAAGATGACTCGGCATATAAGATGACCCCCGTCTTTGGCACCAATTTTAACGCTTGCGGAAGTCGCCTTATACACCGGCATATACGGTATATTAACCTATTCTGTAAAGTCTCCATTTACAATTGTTTTGGCTGTTTGTCTAAAATATATTGTTTTGATTATGTTTATACATTTTTCTTCAAAGTCCATCCAATTTAATTGTTGTAAAATGAATTGCCAATTTATGTTGTCAAAGGCTTTCTGTGCATCTAGGAAAATTAATGCCATTTGTTTCCCTGGATGCATTTCATAATATTCCAATGTATCCAATTCTTAAATTATTTTTTATTTGTCTCTTTGGTAAAAATCCATTTTGATCTGGATGGATAAATTCAGTCAAAAATCTTTTCAATCTCTCTGCTGTTATTGAAGAAAAAAAAATATAATCTGTGTTTAGTAATGATATTGGTCTGTAGTTCTTTATCTGAGTCAGATCTGAGTCTTCTTTTGGAATTAAGGTAATATTAGCTTCTGCCCAGGTATTTGGTAGTTTGGCCTCTGATAGTACCTCATTACAGGCTTCTTTCATTGATAGGCTTAATGTGTCTTGTAGACATTTATAGAACTCTGCCAGTATCCCATCTGGTCCTGGAGTCTTATCATTTTTTTTTGTCTTTTTATAGCCTCCTCCAATTCCATCATTGTTATTTTTTCATTTAACATATTTTTAAAACTTTCAGGTATTTTTGGTAATTTGGCTTTTTTCATATATATATAATTTTATTTATATATAATATATATATATAATTTTTCATAAAATTCTTTAACTATTTTTTTATTTTCAGTTGAAATTGTAAACATTCTTTCCCATCTTGTAGTTTATTTATCAATTTCTTCTCCTTTTCTTTTTTCAATTTATAGGCTAACCATCTACCCGGTATATTAGCATTTTCAAAAAAGTTTTGTTTTGCCCTTTTAAATTGTTGGGCCATTTCTTCAGCTTCTATTAAGTTTATGTTTTATTATCTCCATTTGCTTTTTAAAAAAATTCTTTTGTGGGTCTGCTTGTAATTCTAATTCCAGTTTTTTAAATTCTTTCTTTAACTTCGTTTGTTGTTGTTGTTTTTCCTTATTCTTTTTTGCCATATAAGTTATAGCTAAGCCTCTGAAGTACGCTTTGGCCCTATCCCAACATTTTGAAGCGATCTGTCTTCTTTCTTATTTTCTTTAAAAAAGAATTCTATTTCTTTTGCTGCTATTTGTATACATTCTTTCTCTTTTAATAAAGCTTGATTCAATGATCATCTATTTTTTATTTATTCCTTTCCAAGTCATCTTTATCAAATTATGATCTCCCCATATATTGGTTTATATCTCAATATATTCATTCTTATTTCAGAGGATAACCATATCATATCAGTTCTGGCCCACAATTTGTGCCTATTCGAATAAAATGTATACTGAGATTTTTTTGGATTTTTTTCTCTCCACATATCCTGTAAACAGATTTCTTCTGCCATTTTGAAAAAAGCCTTAGGTAGTATATTTCTTCCTTTTTTCCCTATTTTGCTGCTTTTATAGTTTAGCTTTTCCATCTACAATTGCGTTAAAATCTCCTACTAAGCAAATGTCTTGATATTCTGTTTTCACTACTTCCTTATGTAGTTTTTGGTAAAATTCTTCTTGTTTATTATTTGGTACATATATTACTACCATCAATGTTTTTTTTTTTTGAAACAAATTTTATTGGTTTTTTAATTCTTAGAACAAAGTGCTTAAGACACACCATGGTGCTGGGGTAATCAAACATCCAGAAATAAAGCCATATATGAATAACTCAAATCAATACATCAAATATTCCCTCTCTATTTCCCTCAAATAGCTTAATATATTTAAGATAATCAATTTCTAATTTAAATTTCTATTAATCCTAAACCTGTTTTGGAGCTTTATAAATTTACAATTATCATAATCAAATTTAACTTTAAATAAACACATTATCAATTCAGGTATCCCTTCCAGGTATATTCTAGTTCCTTAATTTTAATACAAGTCTTGTTTATTTCTTCTTCCACTAATATTTCCTAATTAAAATAAAATATTAGTCTACCTATACATATCTAATCCATCCATCAATCAATCTCTTTAAAATAACAAGATAATATCAAACCTTAAATCATTTCAGTCCATTGGACGAGATTCAAATTTCATTCAGTTAATTATCATACCTAATAACATCCATATTATCAAACAAAAACATCATCTTACTAAATTAACATTCGATTAATTATTAAGTCAATCCAGATCTAAAACATCTCTTCAAGTTTCTTCATTCCATTATATAATAGTTTTCATACAAATAAACCTATTATTCCAAAAAATACATTCTTAATCTATTTAATATATATATTCTAATAATCACCCATTTTTCTCTTACTTCTAACACTAAATCTTAATCCTTAAATCAGTCCATAATTCTAGAGTGCCTTTGATCCATTACATATAATTTTAAATTTCTCTTTTCAGTTCTTTTTGTGCCAGGCAGGTTTCCATAACAAAGCTTCCCTTTCAGCTGATAGGTCTCTCTTTGTTGCTTGTAATATCCTTTGAGACAGTAAAAAGCATCCTGTCCTCTGCATTGGGCATCTATTTTTCTTATCCATAAAGCCTCGTTGCTTTAAAGGTTCAAATCTCAGTCTTTGATTTTTCTGATCCCTGAAGATATAGATGAAATGCTTGTAAGGTAAAATAAGTTCCTCTTTAATCTCAATTGATTTCTCTTCTAGTATGTTTTGGTTTATAGAATGGTCAGATGTAGTCTGAAAGTCAGTTTGAAGGTTTGGAGTGGAGTTTCTGGCTCTTAATTCTGTAGTAATCTCTTTCATTGTAGCACATATTTCTTCAGTAACCTCATAAATCTTTTCCAATATAAGTTTACAGTTTAATTGTGAATAAGGTTTCTCCGTTTTAATAGTAGTTGAAGAGAATCCCTTTTTTCTTTTAGTGGAGGCTATAATTAATAAAAGTTAAGCAATATCCACCCCCACAATTCCCACAGCTGCATCAGCTTATCTTTTCTCTTCAAGAATAGTTTGAAGGTCAAGTCCATCTCATCTCCAAACAATAATCAGCAGTTGCAATATTAACTTTTTGCCACTAGATGTCCTCAGTAGATTAAAAAATCTTTTCCAGACACCATTTTCCCCCTTTTTTCTATCTTTTAAAGGAAAAGGTGGAAAAAGAAATAATCTTCCAGTGTAAAATAATAATACAGCTCCTAGAAAAGAGGTTTTTTCTGTACCCAAAGTAAATGAAAATAAAGTGTAGTCTTTAAAACTTTTTGTTCTATCCTTTTGTTGAGCACCTTTCTTTCCACACATACAAAAGCTGCTTTTTCAAGACAGGGAAATAATTCCAACAAAGCTTTTACAGGCAAAAAAAACCCAGAATAGGGTGAAGAGAGGAGCAGAAGGGGTCTCAGCCGGATCATCCGCGGTAGGTCTATTACGCATAGATGTAGTTGTAACTTTTGGCTGGTGCAGCAGGGTAATCGGTCATCTTGCAGGACGATCTTTGCTCTGTCAGCCCTAAGGAATAGCTGGAGCCACGAGAGAAGCTGCCGCCCTTCTGCAGTCACCAGCAAGCCTCCTCGGTGGTCGCCCCTCAAGGGCGACTTTCAACTCACTAAAGGGTCTCCGGCAAAGAAAACCTGGCCGGTGTGGAGATGAGTCTCCAGACATGACCAGCGTTGCCAGGTACTGGAACCAGAAGTCCAGTGTCTGTTTTTTATTTATCATTTTTCCACCATTAATATTCTTCCTTTTTCATCTGCATAGACTTGTTTAGAATCCATTGTCTCTTTAATATATAAAACTACTCCTCTTTTCTTTTGTTATGCTAATGAGAAGTAGAGTTTCTCAGTTTGGGGGCATTCCAAAAGTTTATATGTTGTCTTTTTATATGTGTTTCTTGGAGGCAGACTATATCCATTTTTAGTTTTTGTAATCGTGTATAAAACAAATTCTTTTTGAGGGAGAGTTCAATCCATTTATATTCATTGAGAGAATCCCGTTTTCCTTCTCAATTTTCTTTACTTATATTTAGGTTTTATTTTCCTAGTTGTTCTTGCCTGTTTTTGTTCTCCTACCTTTGCTCCTTCTTTGTTCTCCTACCTTCTTCTTGATCTATATTTACTATTTCTTCTTTCTCTCTTAATACAGCTATTTCTTCAGGTGCTACTTCTCCCTGTTTTCTACATTCCCTATCTGAAGTTCTGGACTTTTTTCTTCAAGGAAAGCTCTGTGTCTCTCACAAAATTCCATTGCTTTGAAAATGGAATCCAGTCTTTATCTCTTAGAATCCCAATCTCTTCCGGGACCAGCCATCTAATGTTCACTCCTTTTTCAATTAGTTTTTTGGTAAAAAATTGATAATTCTTTTCGTGAGTCTCTTATCCTTCTAGGAATCTGTTTCAAGACCACAGTTTCTTTCTCCAGCATGTAAAGGAATGTAG